GCGCTCATTGTTCATGGATTTGTAGAGCTTCATCTCCAGACTTCTCCTGATCCTTTCCTGGTGGTCACTGGGTGGGGTGAAAGTCCCAACCCTCCAGTCTTTAGGTCTTACCAACCCCACCCTGAAGCTCCCCGGGGCCTCTACCCTAAATCACTGCGTTAGCATAAACTCGGGAGTTATCTGACGGAGCATATAAGGAATGACAAGACACTCCTACCCATCAGGAATTTCCAAAGGTGTTAGGGGCTCCGTGGCAGGAAGTGGGGACAAACACCAAATTGATTTCTTTTTCTACTACAGAAGACAAACACCAAAATAATTAGCTCCAAGAGGGAAAGAGGCCGCGGGAGGAGGACTATGATTTTTCTTCTGACAAGCCACAGGGACCCGTGAATCCTTAAGCCGGGGGCCTGGCTCATTTTAGTAAATCAAATTTTGAAAAGTCTAGATAGGATTGATGTTATTCACCATGCCACACTGGGCCTGTTTGTGGCCCAAAAATTTCTGGGCCCAAAGATTCTGTGGCCCAAAGATTCTGGGGGACCCAGGTTGTGTCCTCATCAAGGCTGCTTGTTTCAGTAATTATCCTGGGCTGCATCACACTCACCTGGTCGTGGGGCTCAGGCTTGCCCCCATCCCTGGCACGTGCCCCTTCAAGGCGGGCAGGTGTGTGTACAGACTTGACTATAGGCTGGGGAGGCAGAGGATCCATGCTGCCAGCAACTTCATCTTCCTGCTGCTGCTTCTCAGATCTCCTGCTTCCCAGATGGCCCCGGCTGTTTCTGCAACCTGGTCCACCCTCCCTCCTCTCTCCTCGCCCTGATAGGTGGTCGTGATGGGCCAGTGCAGAGCGCTGGCACTGGTTGAGTGCTGCGTCGCACGTGCTTCTCACCAAAGCTTCCTAACGGACGCTGTGCTCCCCCTCTGACATGGGGGTAACAGGCAGAGGGTCTGCATGGCTGCAGGTCACAGAGCTAAGGGAAGCAGAGTTGAGATCTGGACCGAGGTCTGATTCCAGAGCCCTTGGGGAAAGGCCCTCATGCCTAGGGGGTCATGGGATCCTCCCTCTAAGGGGGCAGCATTCCTGCCTGGATCTTGGCCAGGGAGTAGATGTCAGAGAGACCATCCATGCCAGGACATTCAGAGTGCCTGGCCTGAGATGCAGGAGGCCCTGGGGTGAGCAGGGTGGAGTGGCCTCAGACGGTGGCTGCTGATTGGCTGTGTGTCCTTAGGCACATCACCTTGCCTGTCTGTGCAGCAGGAACAGTACCTTGCAGGCAGCTGGTTGTGAAGATTAAAGTGCCTGGTCCACCCAGCTGCAGCCTGGCCTGTTAAGCTCCGGAAATAGCCCCTGCCAACCCACCTGACCGCCAGCTGCTCCTCTCGGGCCTTCCCTGGGACTGTGAAGGCCCCGGGGCAGACGCCAGCTCCCCAGACTCATTTGAAAGGTCAGGGTGGCCTGGAGAAGTTAGCCTGAGGTCAGATCTGCTGATGGACCAAAGGTCTGAAGGTGCTCAGTCTGGTGAGCTCACAGAGGTGGGGAGTGGGGGGCGGGTGGAGCCTGGAGGGCTGTGACTGGCCTGAGGCCAGAGTTTATGGCGAAATTGAATCCCCCTTATTCTGATGTCCCGGAAAACATTCCCGGGTGAGTCAGGGCTCTGAGGTGGCTGCCTCAGCTGGGAGTGAGGCCTCCCACCCTGATTCATCCTGTGGCCCAGGCCCTGCCCAGGGTGGGGAAAGGGGTTGGTAACTCAGGCCCATGCCCATGCAAGGAGGGTTCTTTTTCTGTCCTCCTCCCACCACCGTTGCGTCCTGGAAGGCAGGAGTTCAGCACCTTGGAGAGGGGACAGCCCCTGTCCTCGCAGTCCCTGGTGCGGGCGCCCACATCTGCTTTCTCAATTTGTCCACACGGGAGGCAGGGCATGGTGGGAATTTGAACCCAAGCCTGAATACCTCGAGTGGGGTCAGGGCACAGTCACTGGGCCAGTGTTAAGCTCCTGATGTGCTTAAAAAGGCCCAAAAAACTAGCCCTGCTACCCCTTCCTATATTTGCCCTGGAGCACCTGGATGGGACCTGACTTACACCTGTGAGTGGCCTCAATTCTGAGGAGGTTCCCGGGCAGCCCCACCCTGACCTCACTCACCCCACTGCCTTGGGGAGCTGACACCAGTGGTCTTGTGAAGGGTTTGGTAAAGGGACAGCTACGTCAGCTTCCCAGGACAGTTCTGGGTCCCACATGATGACTGCGGTGACCCTCTGTGCCCCAGGTTATCCACGAGGGCCCACCTGCAGCCCCAGGCCTGCAGCAGACCCTTGGGGGTCAGACAGCAAGGCCCCTGCAGACCCTCACCCCAGAGGCGCCCAATGAATGTGGCCCTGCCTGGGCCCAGCCAAGGTCAGGAGACACAGAACTCCAATCTTTGCTATAAATACACGTGTTTGGTGAGTGAGGGGCAACAGAAGGCAGAGAGATGGCGCTGTACACAGCTGGTATAGGCTTGGAGGTGGAACGCCAGAGAGACAGACACACAGACAGTCCGCCTAGCAGGGCAGGCCGGGCAGCATTCTGGGGCTTGTAACACTTGGTTGGTGGGCGAGAGCCGGGAGGAGGTCTGGCCCAGGGCTGGAGGGGCCGAGGCACCCTGCAGGTTCCAAGGTCCGAGGTCCTGGGTGGCATCTGCGGTGGCACCTGGGCTCAGCTCACGTCATTCAGGGCCTGGAGGGACACGAGGCCAGTCAGGAGGGTGCTCTGGGTCCCTGGGTCCCCCCACCTGGCCCCACAGGCCACCCACCTTGCGGGCAAACTCGGGCAGCACGAAGGCGGCGCGGTGCACATCGGAGTTGTAGTACTTCAGCTGCATCTGTGCCACCTGCTGCTGCGTCAGCGGCTGCACCGGCTCCTGGAAGTTGGTGCTCTGGGGACCGGGCCAGGGCACATCGGGGGGGTACTTTTTTTTTTTTTTTGAGACGGAGTCTCGCTCTGTTGCCCTCGCTGGAGTGCAGTGGCGTCATCTCGGCTCACTGCAACCTCTGCCTCCCGGGTTCAAGTGATTCTCCTGCCTCAGCCTCAGGTACACGCCACCACACCCAGCTAATTTTTTTTTTTTTTTTTTTTTTGTATTTTGAGTAGAGATGGAGTTTCTCCATGTTGGTCAGGCTGGTCTTGAACTCCTGACCTCAAGCAATCTGCCCGCCTTGGTCTCCCAAAGTGCTAGGATTCCAGGCGTAAGACACTGCGCCCGGCCTGGGGACGGCTCTTTTTTTTTTTTTTTATTTTTTTTGAGATAGAGCCTTTCTCTGTCCCCCAGGCTGGAGTGCAGTGGTGTGATCCCGGCTCCCTGCAAGCTCCGCCTCCCGGGTTCATGCCATTCTCCTGCCTCAGCCTCCCCAGCAGCTGGGACAACAGGCAAATGCCGCCGTGTCCAGCTAATTTTTTTGTATTTTTAGTAGAGATGGGGTTTCACCGTGTTAGCCAGGATGGTCTCCATCTCCTGACCTCGAGATCCGCCCGCCTCGGCCTCCCAAAGCGCTGGGATTCCAGGCGTGGCCACCGCGCCCAGCAGGGGGAGGGCTCTTTATTTACTTCCCCCGACCCCCACCCCTGGGCACCCCCATCTCACCGGGTTCTTGCTGCACAGCATGAAGCCGATCTGGCCGCTGGGGTAGGTGGGGATGGTGCAGTAGGCGTAGGCCACCACGGGGAACAGGGACTGGCAGAACTGCCGCATCTCCTTGATAAGGTCCAGGTGTAGCCACTGGCACTCGCCTGGGGGCCCCGAAGCATCAGCATCTGGCAGGGCCTGCCCTGCCCCGCCCCACCCGCCCCACTGCTCCAGGCCTGTGGCTCACCCTGGCAGCAGAGGACACCATCTTCCTTGAGGGCCGTCTTCATAAGCTGGTAATAGGACTCCTTGAAGAGACTTTCGGCGGGGCCTGGGGAAGGATGGAGGGAGACACACTGAACACAGTCTGGCTGAGACCTCCAGGGCCACTCTTACCCCGCTACACAGACCCACACAGCTGCCAGGTGGCCAGAGCCAGGATCTGAACCCAGGTCTGTGGGTGACAGGCTCCACACCTGAGTCCCATTCTTGGGGGAGTGTCATTGGCACCACAGCAGAGGAACCTCTACCCCAGGCCTTGGTCCAAGACTAGAACCTGCCCCCACTCCAGTGCTGACCAGTCCAGAGCAGAGGGGAGGCTGAAGAGGACACAGAGGCCTCAGTGTCCCAATGCCAGATCCCCACTCTCCTTGGGGCCCAGCTTGTGAACTCAGGGCAGTGGCCTGGCTCCTGCCTACTGTCCTGAGCCATGTTTCAGAGGGCAGGTAACAACTGAGAAGGGAAAAGTACAGCTCTAGTTCAAGGGGCGGGAGGCTGCTCTATCTTCGACTCTGAAGGCCTGGGGGAGGCTGACCTCCAGACCCGCAGCTGTCAGAAAACCCTGGGGCCCATCCGCTGCTTACCCATAGGGTCTGAGGAGTCAGTGATGATCACATCGAAGGCATCCTGATTCTGTTTCATGAACTCAAAACCGTCACCCACATGTAGGGTCAGCTTCGAGCTAGAGTAGCCAATGGCCATGCCTGGCAGGAACTTCTTGGAGACTTGGATGACATCCTGGAGGGGATGGGAGGGACCAGACTGGGCCAAGGGGCTGGGGGACCTGGAGCCAGACACAGCCACGTGGGACTCTCCAAGTGCCTTACAGGCAAGTGGCCTTGGCCAAGCCCTTCCTTTTTTTTTTTTTGAGACAGGGTCTCACTCTGTGGCCTAGGCTGGAGTACAGTGGCATGGATCATGGCTCACTGCACCTTCGGCCTCCAGGGCTCAGGTGATCCTCCCACCTCAGCCTCCTGAGTAGCTGGGACTTCGAGTGTGTTCCATCATGCTCGGCTACTTTTTAAATTTTTGGTAGAGATGGAGTCTCCCTATGTTGCCTCGAACTCCTAGGCTCGAGGGATCCTCCCACCTCGGCCTCCGAAAAGCGCTAGGATTACAGTTGTGACCCTCCACAGCTGGCCCCTTTTAGGAACCTCAGTTTATAATGTGTAAAGCAGGAAAAACTCTGGTACCTCTCTTTCTCCTTGAGAGCCGGCTCTTCTTGCCTGTGGCTTGAGCTCCTCTCTCCCAACCCTACCCGCTCCTTCCAGACCAAATCACCCTGTCTGAGTGGCTTTCTTGTCCCTTCCTATTTATTTCTTTTCTTTTTTTTCTTTTTTGAGATGGAGTCTCGCTGTG